ACACCGCCTCCGCACACACACACACACACACACACACACACACACACACACACACACACACACACACACACACACACACACACACACGGGCGCGCGTGCGCACACGAGCTTTTATATAAAATGTCAATGTTAAATTGTAATATATTGTTCTGTATTTAAAATATTATCTTAATCATTTTGTATAATTTCTAAAGAACACTTGCGTTAAATTGAATACTTGTTCTATGTCCCACACTACTACTACTAGTCTACTACTACCATAGAAATAGTATAGATAGTGTTATCTATACTATTTCTATGACTACTACCTATTAAAGGTTGCGCTGGCTCGAACAAAAATGGCGTCATGTTTCACCTTAAGTACTAGCGTACTGGTTTCATGTCGTTAATAGAGCACGGCTTTCAACCAATCGCAATGTTTCTGTGTCAAAACAAATCGCGACGTACACAAAGATAACCGATTGCGATCGTTCTAGAATGTATCGATATTTATTAATCAACTGGAGTCTTTTCACATTCTTACATTATAGCACGGACGCTAGAGTACGACTAGTAGTAGTAGGTATCGTAGTAGTAGTAGTAGGAGTAGTAGTAGTAGTACTAGTGTGTGTGTGTGTGTGTGTGTGTGTGTGTGTGTGTGTGTGTGTGTGTGTGTGTGTGTGTGTGCGTGCGAGCGGGCGTGTGTGTGTGTGCGTGCGTGTGTGCGCATATGTAATTACTAATTACGCGTGTGCGTGTGTGTGTGCATATGTGTGTGCGTGTGTATATGCATGCGTGCAAACGTCTTCAAAGCAACAATATTACCATAGGCTACCCTATACTTGTGTGGAGATTTCAGGGGACTGACGTCACACAACCACACGCCTCCAATAGTCACAGGGTTAGGGTGTGACTAGCCACTGGCCCACGAATGCGAGGTAGAGGGGGTTGCGCCGCCCGTACACGTACCGGACGGGGGGGGGTTGCATGACCCATGCACGTGCCAGGCAAGGGGGTGGCAACAGGGCCGTACGCAGCAAGGGGGCAGCAGGGGCAGTTGCCCCCTAGAGATTTTCAGAGTATGCCTTTTAATGGGACAAATACTGTACACTTTTAGAAATAAAATAGAAATGTAACAAAAGGTTATCTTAAATCATCAAAGAAATATTACTTTAAATAAAGAAATGTGAAATTGCAAAACTTTAGGGCACAAGGGGGCATGGGGAGTACCTTTGCCCCCCTACAGAAAATTTCCTGCGTACGGCCTTGGGTGACAACGCCCAGGCACATGAGCCACGCGAAAGGGTGAGCCAGGTTGGTACGGTCAGCAGCCTACGTCACCGCGGGCTCCTACATAACCAGCCTCGATCTAACGGTAAAGTAGTCGATCTTCGGCCAATAGATGGCGATACCTATCCTACGTGACATACACGGCGGTGTTGTACAACAGTAGAAGGCCTCAGTATAGGCAGCAGGCCTGAATAAGCATCGAACAGAAATTAATTAAAAATACTCACACTGTTTCGTCGCATACACAACATACACTTTATTTATGTTGAATAACTACGGATTCATGCTCTATGCTCCGCTCGAAACTTTTGCCAGCTCTATCATGCGAAATTCTACAAAGTAGTCGGATCACATTTCAAACACAATAATGGCCAACTGGTCACCATGGCTACGCCACCTGACGGAATGTCACAACTACACGGCAAGACCCATTTTACTTCTAATGCTTCGGTGAACAATTTGCGGAGGCTTACTGTTGTATGCCTCCTATATGTTCAGCCTATATCAAATTAATGAAATAGTGTTTATCTTAAATTATTTTGTATTTACTGAAATCACACCTTTTATGTAGATATCTCGTACCCACCAGAAATTTGGCATTTAAGAGAGCTCTGCCAAATCTCTCACTTCAAGTTGCTAGTGGGACGCTTGTGTAAGGAAAACGAGGACGGCGTTGTTAATTAGAGTTCCATACCGAAACAATCTAGCTTTTGTGACTTTTTAATTGCCTTCCCACCACGGCACCACTTATCTCTCTACTTCTCTCTCTTGCGCACTCTCTTTACCTATCTCTTATACACATATCTGTGTGCGCGCGGGTGCGTGTGCATGTGTGCGTGTATGTCGCGTATGCATGCGCGCGCGCGCGCGCGCGTGTGTGTGTGTGTGTGTGTGTGTGTGTGTGTGTGTGTGTGTGTGTGTGTGTGTGTGTGTGTGTGTGTGTGTGTGTGTGTGTGTGTCGTGTGTGTGTGTGTGTGTGTGTGTGTGTGTGTGT